GCGGACATCGAATTCCTGGATAATACGCGAAGGTCTTCGGGGCTTCCAGGAATTTTCTTTAACAATTCATAAAAATTGGCACGAATTGTTAACGACGTTTTAGCGGACATCGAATTCTTGGATAATACGCGAAGGTCTTCGAGGCTTCCAGGAATTTTCTTTAATAATTCATAAAAATTGGCACGAATTGTTAACGACGTTTTAGCGGACATCGAATTCCTGGATAATACGCGATATTCTCCGAAGATTCGTCGAAAAGATGTGCACGAAAACGGGACAGAGGGAGGAGAGTGGCATTTTAATATATTGTTTTTTTGTTATTTCACGAAGCACCACTGGCGGTTAATAAATCGAAGAGTGGCCACGAAGCCGCGGATTGCTCGTCGGTAGAATGGAATGGTCTGATTCTTTGTTTTTATTTATATATATATTTTTTTATATTCCCTCCTCGCGAAACGTAAACGCCGCGCGAGCATTCCCACCCTGGCGATGGATATTCGATCGAGCTGCCTCGAAGAATTATTATTTCCCGACAGACAGGGACCCTCGTTATTCCAGGCCGAGGATATTACATCTCGAGAGCTGCGGGCTCAAACCCATTATTCACAGGCCGCGAAAACGATTGAACGGCGAAACGTTGATCCAATTTTTCCCCGTTTTCGCGCCTTTCGAAGAAACACATCCCCCGGGTGGAAAAAGGCGAGCTTTGTTTCGGAAAGCTTGCGATTCTCTTCTATAGGAAATTTCAAGCTTGCGATTCATTTAAATCGCAAACTTATGATTGGTACGAGATAGATACTCCAATTGCCATAAACTCGACAAAAGCGGCAGTAAATTTAGTTAGGTTAATTGAAAAGCGATTTTACTCAATATTTTTTATTTAAACTATTAAACAAATACTATTTCACACGTAATATATTTTTTTCTTTCTTGGATTTTCACTTTTCTCTCTTCATTCTTCTATTCTTATGATTGGTAGAAAGAAATTCGATGCACAATGTCCCAAGAGCTAGACGACTCCTTACACCTAATAGAGATTATGCATAATAGAGAGCAAATTACTACATTACAAGTAGGAACTCCGGATTTTCTTTCTTCTCTCTTCCTTCCCTTTCCGTGATCGTTAGAAGGAGATTAGATGCATCAGATCACAGGAGCTAAACAGAAGCAGTGCTAAGTAGAGGTTAGGTTAGTCGGGAAGTGAAGTAACAGAAAATAGATTACCCGGCTAATTTTAAACCGGGGGAAACGTTACCTCGCGAGCGAGGAGCCGTTAAATCTGCAAGATCGATGCCGGGTTTCCGGTCGAGAGGTTTTCTCATTAATTATTACGTTCTACTTTGCGTTACCTCTCCTTTCTTTCTTCCTTATAATTGAACGGGGCGAGAGAGTGGATACACTTGTTCGGCGCGGCGCCGCCAGATGGCGGCTCGAGTGCAGGTTAGCTCGCCGAAGGGAAATAAATTACGCGGCTAATATTAAAACGAGGGAAAACGTGGAAAAATCCGCAAGGTCGCCGAGCTTCCGGTCGACAGGCTTTCCCGGACGTTAAGGTCGACCTTTGGGCGAGAATCTCTCGCGGAAGCGGCGACCCGTTATCTGACTCCGAGGAGACATCTCGCGGCCGCGCTCGAACGACTCGACGTCGAGAATCGCGGAAGAAGGGAGTACGCTCACCGCGATTTCCGTTAGAACCGGCGCGCGGCCAATGGCAGCGCCACTTTCCCCTGGAACCTTCCCGCGCTCGATGTCCAGAATTAAATAAGTACAAGGGTGGGTAAATTCGCGTTTTTCGATTTTCTACGTATATCATGTAAATAAACCATGCAGTTCACCGTAGAAAATCAATAAATGGCGTTTCCAATATGAAGGATGTCGCAGATGCGCGATATACGGCATCCGCTAAGTTATTGATATTTTTTAGCGTATTATACATATTCAAGCTTGAACAGTACCGAATTAAATTCCTCCTTTAATTTAGGGAACTTTTGGGCATTTTATTTTAAGCTTATAAACCTCCTAGTGGTATTGTTTGGGATTTTTCAGAAATTGACAATTTCCAAGATGGCCGCGAAATTTTTCATCTTTCGGAGAATCGTAACTCGTAAGTTTATCGCTGCTCGCGACTCCGACTTTAATAAAGCTCCTCGAGCGGAGGAAAGGCTCCTTTTTCCGGAGCTTTTTTCCACGACGAGCATTTTCCGGATATATCAAGTGTTATTACGCGGCTCGGCGGAAACGCATCTTGAGGCCAAACGGATCCGTCGATGTCCATTGCCTGGGAAAGAAATTGCTTCCCCCTTTTTCAGTCCGTCGAACGAGAGTCGGGGCTCGAACGGAAAAACTCCTCAAGGCCGTAAACGGATGAGGAAACGCGTACATGCATACCGGGAAATGTGCCGGAAAATCTTTTCTGAGACTTTCGGCGCATCCGCGAAGCTCGAGAGCTCCGGAAAAGCCAGCTGCAAGTCGCCATCCAGGAATTCCGCGACATAAATTCGACTTTCGGCCCAACGGTGCGTGATAGAAAAAAACGTCTCAAACAAAAGTTGTCCTGCACACTATCACGCCGAACTTTTGTATGGCAGGATTTTTCGTAGAATGCATGGATAATGCAGAAATCGAGGATAAGCAAGCTGATGCGTTCGGTCTGAAGTTAGCAGCGGATGCGCATCTTCCCACTGGCACTCGATTTCCGGATTAACCAAGCGTTATGGAGGAAAACGCTTGAAACAAAAGTTGGTGTTTACTTGATTCTTGAAAACTTTTTCGGAGCACGTTTTTCTCTATCTCGTATCAGAAAGCCAGGAAACGGTAGATATAGACTGCGCCCGCTCGCTGGGAGCGCTGAAAACGCGCCAGTTCCCCCGAATATCGCATTCTCTAGCTTTCGTTTCGCCCGCTGTTCATTGCCAAAACTAGGCGGAGAATTTGTCTATACCGGGAAAATTCTCGGCTCAAAGGGGAAAATTCCTGCCGAGCTATTTCCGAGGTTTGGGGGGAAAAGCGAGCCCTTTCGACGCGCCCGAAACGGTATTTCCGGCATCGTGTTAAACGCTTGCAAGGCCCATTGATAACGAAATCACTCGCTCTCGTTATCTTACTTAACTTATCTGAGCAATAAAATTATTTAACTCGGTTAAGTGAAGCACTTTAAAGCTTCTGAAGAACTCAATGGCCGTCCAAGTTCTCTAGTCTCCATTTCGACGTCCCTCGGGACTCGGATTTCTCCTTTTCAGGATTCGGGAAAGGCTCGAACTCGCGTCCCGAAAAAAGGAAAACCCCCGTCGACACGAAACTTCCCTTAAAGCTGAAGAACCTGCCTTAGAACTTCAATTTAGCTCCAGAAATCGAAACTTCGGGACGGAGATCGAAACTCGAGAATGCCAGAAATTCTCTTATTTCCTCGAGATTTTTATGTTCCTATTTATTAAGAAATAACCCATACTACATGATCCAATTTTTATCAACTGGAAAAGGAAGCCAATTTTTTTTCAACAATCATTTTCATGAAATATAAAATTTTCTAGATGTTTCTTTTTTATTTTTCTCTAAGTCGGTAGACAATTCCTATTTTGCAGTTTTGGAGTGTGATCCAATTATTTCTTTACCCTGAAAGGATAAGGTCCTTTAAGATAAATTCTAAGGGGTGATTATCGATATCCTGCAGAGACGATCATCTAGGAAGTCCGTCCCCAAAAGCTCAGGAATGATAAATTAGTAGTTAGGAATCTTTCATCCCGGCAGGACGATTAGTATTTCCCATGGTTTTCCAGGAGAAACGTTAAATTAGCCAGGACCTCGAATTTCCCCCCAGCATCAGTAATGGTCCTTTGTTTCATCTCTTGGGGATGGTTCGTCATCAATTATGCGCCCTAGCTTAAGATCTCCAGAGGGGAATTCCCGACCCATCAGCACCGACTGTCCATCATGGTCCTAGAGGTCGTAGTGCCATGATGGGAGTCGTCCACCCATCTGTAGAGGCTGTCCATCACCTCCTGGACCTGCTCCATCGGCATGGTCAACCCTAATTTGTCGTCAGCCTTTACAGTCCCATCTTGTAAGAAACCCAACACCCATCTGCGCAGAAACCATCACTCTCCTGGAAGTTGGGCAACTATCGCCCTGATTATCCATCACGTCCCTGGGACCTGAGTTGCCATCATGGGCGGTTTTATGACTTCCATTATGGGCGTCATAGAACTCCTTGCCCGTCCTAACTGCCCATCATGGAAGTGGAAGCACCGACAAAGTCCTCCCTAACTCTGGTGACGACGGGCACCCATTGTCCACCGTCCTATTTCCCGGAAAGTGGAGTGAAAAGGTTTAAATAATCTCCATTTTAGGTCTGATGGTTAGAGGAGGCCATTCTTGATGGTCTTAACCCTTTACCATCACCTTAAATCGAATATACCAAATTTCGTCTTAACCATCGCTATGGCTATGGTACTAAGGTCTGGCATCCCAGAAAAACCATATTTTCAACTTCCCTAATTTTTATCACTTTGTCAAACGGAAGGTACCACACAATTTCGTTCTGATCATCTCTATGGGTGTCCTCCCAAAAAAGCCATATTTTCAAACTTCCTAGTTTTTATCATTTTGTCAAGCTGAAGATACCACAAAATCCCGTCTTGTCTACATTAGGGTACTCATCTCAAGAAATAACTCATTGTTCATGATTCTAACATCCCGCCACCACGACACACCACAAGGCATTAAAAAAATCTCGTCCTGATCAACACTTACCCCATATAAAAAAGGCATGTTCTCTCCCAATCACCGAAGTTAAGCGACATAGAGCGTGGCCGGTACCTGGAAGGTGACCACCAGGGAAATCCGCGTGCGGGACGATAATAGATGAATAAGCAACAACCACACAAAGATATTGAAATTTATCTGCGGTGTTTAGAAATGAATACCTCAGCCCAAAATGGCCCAGGAACCTGAAAAGGTCCGGACCTCTAAGAATTCTGCTTCCAGGAGGAGCCATCATCAGGATGAACGCAACAGGGGAGTCCGTAGGGACGATGGGCGAGGACTACGACTCAGGATGCTCGACCAGCGAAGAGGACACAGGGGCATCCTTGCCCCCCTGGGAGGCAGCCGCAGCCTCCGTGGTCCTGGGGTTCCTGGTCCTGGCGACGGTGTTGGGGAACGCCTTGGTCATCCTCAGCGTCTTCACTTACCGGCCCCTGCGGATCGTGCAGAACTTCTTCATAGTCTCCCTGGCGGTGGCCGACCTGGCTGTGGCGATCCTGGTGATGCCCTTCAACGTGGCGTACCTGTTGCTGGGCAAGTGGGTGTTCGGCATCCACCTGTGCAAGTTGTGGCTCACCTGCGACGTGCTCTGTTGCACGGCCAGCATCCTGAACCTGTGCGCGATAGCCCTGGACAGGTACTGGGCCATCACGGACCCCCTGAACTATGCCCAGAAGAGGACCCTGAAGAGGGTGTTGGCCACGATAGCGGGGGTTTGGGTCCTGTCCGGTGCTATCAGCTCGCCACCCTTGGCGGGATGGAACGACTGGCCCGAGGAACTGGAGCCAGGGACCCCCTGCCAGCTCACCAGGAGGAAGGGCTACGTGGTCTACTCGTCGTTAGGGTCTTTCTTCATCCCCCTGTTGCTGATGAGCCTGGTCTACCTGGAGATCTTCCTGGCCACCAGGAGAAGGCTTAGGGAACGCGCCAGGCAGAGCAGGCTAGGTGCCGTGGCCTCCACCAGGTAGGGATTGCCACACAAGTATCTATCGTTTCTGTTGTTATCCTGCGGATCGGTATCTGTTCACCAGGCACAAGGAGACGGACGACCCCGAGGAGTCCGTCAGCTCCGAGACCAACCACAACGAGCGGTCCACCCCCAGGTCGCAGGCGAAGCCGTCGTTGATCGATGACGGACCCACCGAGGGTACTGCCACCGTCACCAGCACCACCACGGGGAAAAGGGGCCAGTCCAGGACCACCACCACTACGACGGTCTATCAGTTCATCGAGGAGCGCCAGAGGATCTCTCTCTCCAAGGAGAGACGTGCTGCTCGCACCCTGGGCGTCATCATGGGCGTCTTCGTCGTCTGTTGGCTGCCCTTCTTCCTGATGTACGTCATCGTACCCTTCTGCCCTGTCTGCTGTCCCTCCGAGCGGGTCGTCTACTTCATCACCTGGCTGGGGTACATCAACAGCGCCCTGAACCCCCTCATCTACACCATCTTCAACCTGGACTATCGACGCGCCTTCAGGAGGCTCCTCCACCTGGGATGAAGGGCTCCATTCGGTGGAGGACCAAGAAAGTTCTGAGACCCGACGGGGTTCCTTGGGTTCGTCAACGGTGCCCTGAATTCTGTTGTCTACGCTATCTTCAACCTGGACTATCGACGCGCCTTTTGTGGTTCCCACGGGATCTGGGAGTTCGTTAGAAAGTGCGTTCCTGATGTTCCTGCTGGAAAATGAAATGCAGTGGTGTTGGGCTTCTCAAGGAATTTTCTCGTTCCCTCGGGACCTCGTGTGCGATAATTTCCTGAGGGAATGAAGAGCTGCAAAACTCCGTTCCGAGAATGCTGAGTGTATAGAATGTTTTCCTAGAACTGCCAATGGAACTAGGTTTGATACCTAGGGGAAATTCGTTACCCCGCCCATCCCTCGGGACCCGGTGTCCCGGGTTAAGGAATCCTGGAAGGTGCAGTGATACCCTGGAAAGTGCATTTTCGAATTTCCAAACTGACAAGCGTTCCTGCCGAGAATCGAACGGGATCGACGTCGCGATCCCCCGGGACTTCTTCGTGCCCTCAGGACTCTTTCGTTCCCTCGGGACCCAGGAACCTGGAGATTCTCTCTGGGAAGTGCCACGAGTGATCAACGTCAACCTTGTCCTGTTTCTCAAGGACTGCCAGCGGAAGTAGTTCCGATCCCCAGGGATAACTAGCCATCCCGTGTTGCCCTCGGGACCCGGCGTCCCGGGATGAGGAATCCCGGAGCCCCCAGTGTTACCATAAACAGTGCCCCCCAGATTCCCTAGCGACGGACGTGCTAGGAATCGAACTGGGTGGCATTACATTCCCAGGAGTCCCTAGGGACTCCTCTCTTCCCTCGGGATTCTGCATCCCCGAAATTCCTTCCTGGATGTGATCAATTTCAAACATACGTTTTTTTATCTTCTGGAGATCCTAGTTCCAATTTATAATTTCATTCAAACTGCGTTGCTGGTATTCTTAGTGGAACTAGAAAAGGAACGACGGCGATTTCTTAAGGGACTCTTTCGTTCCTTCGGGAATCCGTTTGGGCGACTTCCCGAGGGAATTCGTACTTATGGATTTAGAACTTTTCTACTCGAGCGACCATGTCCGGTGCTGGTCGCTTTTACGGACTAGGGAGGTCTTGAGAGTGCTTAAAACTACGATGGCCGGCGCCATATTGGATTTGCAGATATCCCAAATGTGCAGACCTGTAAATCCGCGATTATGCAAATTTGAAATTACGAAATCCTGCAAATCCGCAAGTTTTCAAATCTGCAACGCTGCGATTCTGCCATTCTACAATTCTGCAGAACTGCAAGTCTGCAAATCCGCGGAAATTCACCATATTGGATTTGCAGATATCTTAAATCTGGAGACCTGTAAATCCGCGATTATGCAAATTTGAAATTACGAAATCCTGCAAATCCGCAAGTTTTCAAATCTGCAACGATGCGATTCGGCAAAACTGCAAGTCTGCAAATCCGCAGAACTGCAAAACTAAATGGCTGCAAGTCCGCAATTATGCAAATCTGAAATTATGCAATCCTGCAATTCTGCAATTCTGCGATTCTGCAAACCTGCAGACCTGCAATTCTGCAATTCTACAGAACTACAAATCTGGAAATCAGTAAGTCTGCAAATCTGCAATGATGCAAATCTGCAACTTATCAACTCCGCAATATGCAGAAATTCTGCAATTCCACAAAACTGCAGATCTGCAACTTTTGAAAAATCCGCAATTCTGCTAATCTACAAGTCTGCAAATATGTAAATATGCATTACTGCCGACTAAAATAATTACCGAGACCCTTTTCCTGGGATTATCGTCCGCGAGGCGGAAAGATAGGTTAGGTCGATTTACAGAGGACGTCGACCTTGAACTCGAAGACGCGGCCGCCATCTTGGTCTCACATCGTGCAAAAGGTCTCAGAAAAAAATACGATCTTGTTACGTTATACATACAACATATCTACATATATTCTCTACAGAACGTTTAATAGTTGTTCCATCATTGTTTATTTCTCAAATCCGTTGAAAGATATCAAAAGTAACAAATGAATTCATTAATTATCCGCTACGGCTTTCCAGCGGAACTTAAAGTATCGTTGTTATTATTTTTCATTTACCCGCTGTTTTAAAAAAAGATGGCCGCGGCAGCCATCTTAGGTTGGGCAATTTTTACCTATCGAGATCTCTCACTCGACGTTAAATTTGGCAATCAGGGTAATTAGGGTAACGCGATACAGGTCGATCGTTATCCAGCTGTCGGGAATTACGCGTGACAAGCGGACGGCTCGTTAATTTAATGAATGACAACAATATGCTCGGCTTCTCGATTATACGAATTGCGGCCGGCGAATCCGCCATTAACAGGAATTGCCGCAATAAAACTTCCGGCGAACCCGCAAATGGAACAATCCCGACCGCGGAATCGCTGGCGGACAAGCGGCCCAGAAATTATTTGCAAACCCGAAATTCCGCGAGAACGGCCATTACCAATTTTTCACCCAATTCTGCAATTCCAGGGGAACCCTCAGTAATTTTTTCTGCATTTTTCCCAGCCCCTCTAAACCGTGAAAAAAAAAAATACAGAAATTCATTGAACCAACAAAAATATTTCTTTAAACAGTACCAGAGAAATATCTTGTTAATTCAAAGGATAATTATTTTACTCTAATAAATTCAAATAAATTGCCACAACTCCGAGGAGACGTTGCATCCAATTTATTCCAGTTTATTTAAGTGAAATTGAAAATCTTACAGGAATTATTTATTATCTCCTTTTTATAAAGATTTCATTCAAAGTCGCGAGAAATATTTTGGATGAAATTTTTTCGGAGCTCGTTTTTTCAACGAAGTCATATTTGCGAAAGGATTTAATTCAAAGCGAAGGTTTAAAATATTTAGAAAATCTAATAGGGAAATTTCAGGCGTTGTAAAACGTGAACAGTGAAGTTTTAATGGCGATGGTTTTCTCCAAATTTTCGTTTCCTCCGGAGGATTTAGTCGCCAAAACTTTTAAAAGCTCATTTTTAGAGAGCAATTCGGAACATACGATGAATCAATTTTGCACGAATTGCTTATCATCCTTTTTACAAATATTCAAAATCGTGTCGAATATTTCGGAGCAGGTTTTTTCAACGAAGTCTTCCTTTCGAAAGGATTTAATCCTAAGCGTAGATTTAAAGTGGAAGCGGTTTAAAACATTCAGAAAATCGAGAAACGAGACGAGATACGTTTTCCCAGGTTCTCCTCTTTTTTAATTTTCTTCTTTTTTTTTTCCTCCCTTCGGTGTACAAGACTTGGCGCTCTCCCAGCAAAGTCAAACTTCCGACATAGACCAGCGACAAATAGTTTCGAGTTTAGCTAGAGTTTGCGGCGATCGTTACAGAGGGAATTCTGCCGAAAGACAAACTTTGCCAAGTCTAGATCACGCTAGTAGTATGCTCGCTCGAAAGAGACCGACATTACGTAAATTTCCCTTCCGATTGCCCGTAAGTAACCCTAAATCATCCTTGCGAAATTCGGGACGTAATTGTTGTGGAATAATAGATATGAAAAACCGTGGGCCATGGTCGTCGTTTATAAATTACGGGTTAATTAAAAATCCAGGGGATTTTAAATATTACAATTGGGACAAGTTTACCTTATCAGGTAGTAATGCATATATGCACTTTGCACGCGATATGCAATGCATTTTTAAGTGTCATATCTATCCATATAAAATCCGGCGATATAAACATCATTTGAAAATTAATCTGTGCAATTGAAAATTTATCTGGACGATATTACATTGTCAAAAAATGGGTCATCAGACAAATGTGCCATGTCAGTTGATAATGCATATGCAATCTGCATACGATATGCACTGCATATCTGACTCATATCTATGTATTAAAATCTGCCGATACACTCGTTAAAAATTAATTCACGGGAATTAAAAATTAATCCAGAAGAAAATGACATTGTCCAGTCCAAGTTTACCTTCTCAGATAACAATGCATATGCAATCTGTACATGATATGCAATGCATATCTAAGTCTCATATCAGTCGTTTAAAATCATCCATTAAAAATGAATTCGCTGCAATTAAATGTGAATCTAAAAGAAAATGACCGATTGTCCAAATTTACCTTCTCAGATAATAATGCATATGCACTCTGCACGTAGTATTGTATGCACATATGCACAGTGCATATTTGAGTCTCGTATTTGTCGAGCATTATTCATTCGTCGTTTCCGAGTTTCGAGGGCTTGCCCTTAAATGGCTCCCTCGAGAAGACGTCTCGTGCATAAATATGCATAAATTCGAAGCTTCTACGTCAAAGTCGACGGCATTAGAGCAGTCGAAACCGAAGTTTCGGGTTCCAACTGCGTCGAAATGCAAATGAGCCGGAAGGTCGCGTTGTTGCACCAAAGGTGCCCAGGAAAAAAAAGGGAAAAATTGTTCCTCCGAAGTGGGGAAACGACGTAATGGGGAAAACGAGAGAAATGAGAGGATGAGGGACAAAAAGCCACGTTGGAGGAAATGGAAAATGACATTAGTAACATCAGCTTGCCGAAAAGAGAGAAATCCAAAAATTGGAGAGAAAGAGTTACGAAAATGGACATTCTTGAAATTAGTCTTTTCAATCTCGTAATATTCTTCTACGAAAAAAAAAAAAAAAAGAAAAAATGTCACTCGACATCGAGGGACATTTTTTCATATCTTCAGTAAACTGCGATTTACGTAGGAAAAATGAATTACGGAATTCTGTTTTTTATCAGCGGGGGAGGACGCAATCGGGATTCCGAATTTCCGATTAATCGTGTCAGTTTGTCCCCCGGGCGGTCTTCGTAATCAGTAATCAGTAATCAGTAATCGAGCCTCCGACGAGGGTAGAAAAAACACCGATTGGTCGATCGAGACTATCGAAGGCCCTTCGAGAAACTGGGGCGGATTCTCGAGTGGATTAAGATCGATCTCGTCGAGTGTATCCGCAATTTCTCGCCAGCGCGGAAACGAAATCCCGAAAAAAGGATTTTTTTTTTCTAAAAAAGAAAATTTAACGAAACGGATTTAAATGTTCCAAGAGA